CACGGTAATGGCCAAACATCCCAATGCAGGACCCTCCTGAACACGAGTCTTGAGGCTCCAGGAGGATTTCCTAGACAAGTAACTGGCGGTATTGTTATTACTGTTATCTGAATCTGCAGTTTCCTCCAATGAGTGACACACAACTTGTATGCATTGTAAATCAGTCGCTGATTCTTGAAAGAAAAATTTGATGCATGTACTGTGTGAGGAGTGCACATTATCTGCTATGACGTGCGGATCAGAAGACACGAACATCCACAAAGATCAAACGCTGAACTTGGCGAGGTGAATGCAAGGAGAAGGTGAATGCGTGAAAAGGAGAGCATAAACAAATCAGAGCAAGAGTATTAAATTGTTCAGAAAAATAAATGGGCTTGGGTAGGCCACGTCGCTGGAGAGAATGACGGACGGTGGTCGAAACTAACAACAGAGCAGCAGCCAAATGAGGAAATGCTCAATAACACACCCAGTGCGGAGAATGGAGCAACAAACTCGGCTTGCGTGCAGGAGCCAGGCGGATTGTTGTATCTACAGGCCACGAGGGATGGTGACGTATTGGGGAGGCTTCATCCAGCAGTGGATAGATAATGGTCTAATGACGATAACGATGATCGTGATTGTAAGAAAGGATTTTAATCACAGAATCCTTACAAGGCTATGTAAGAGGGGTGGTGGCAAAGAGGAGGGTCACATCATGAGTATTTTGTTGATGCAACGTGTCATGAATTTGCATCCCTGCGCAGAGGCCTGGATACTACTCAGTCAGCGTGATTGATGATCCAACACTCTCAAATTATTCTGTTTTTGTTTCTTCACTTGCACTGCTGCTCCACTTTGGAATTCCATCCCATCGCCTTTTTTTCCCAAAGCTCTTTAGAACAATAAGATAACCTGTCTCAATTCAAGAAACCTGTTACATGTCACAACTTTGCCAGCTGCCGTTCATTGCTGACCATTTCAGGTTTGGGATCTTTGGGCTGTGCTCTCGGCACATGTTGTTCTTGCGTGTAGGCACATCTCGCGAGGTTCCACTCCGTCCGTGCAACACTTCAGGCACATGGCACAGCAGCCACATTCGCACGGGGGCAGGCGGCGGCGGAGGCTAAGAATCAGCGAGGATGACGACGCCGACTGCGGGAATGTGGATCTTGGTTCGTACAACGCCCGCGCCTCCCCCTCCTCTCTCTCCGGATAAGGAGGACGTTAATCAGTGCCGGGGCACGTGGTGACACTCGGCATCGCCGTACGCTCACACGTGAATCTCGGTGATCGATGAGCTGGGAGTGGGGGGGGGAAGAGGTGAATCTTGGCACGCAATTAATGCGCTACAGCTGGGAGGCATTTATTTCATTAGCGATAATGAAGAAGTGCAAGAGTATATCTCCGCGCGAGGGTTTACCGTCCAAGTAAACGGCGTATTGTTGCACATGCCGAGGTTACCAGCCCTGCGTGCGACAGCAGGGAATGGCTGGCGTGCGGCGTCGGATGGAGAAAGGGTGAACGGATTTGTCACAGGTCGACCTGGAACTCGGCGGAGCTGCCTTCGGCTCGTGCCAGCCGTGTCTGGATCAGCCCCTTCACAACGAGCGAGAGGCTCGCAAAGGGTGCGACGGAGTGATTGGTAGCCGCCACCCTTCAGCGATAAAAGGAGATGTCATTTTCGACAATGAGAACACCGTACTGTACAGCCCTCTGTCAATACACTGCTGGATGAAGGCCTCCTCGTGCCCATGTTGGTTATAAAGGTTGATCGACCGTACTTTACCACGCTGGTCAGTGATACGGGTTGGTGAATTGGACAGCATTCAGTACCAGTTCAGGGATACTGGCTGTGTGCAGATATTGAACTCAGGTTCCTGGGTTCACAGCGCTGGTGCGCTCACCACCGCTCCTCTCTGTCTGGACCAACAACATCGTCAGCATGCAGGAAGCCCTCCATCCAGCAGTGGATTAGCGTGGGTGACGGCGATGATAACGATGAAGGGACCTCAGGGTTATAATTAGATCCGTGACATCACCCACGCGTGGCCGTTCTCTAACAACAGCAAATATCGCACCGCATCTGTGAGAATTCAAAGAGGACTTCTCACTTTGTGACATGTTGCTGATAGCGCAATTGGCAACGAGTAATTTAGAAATAAATAAATAATTTGCTCGAAGTGTGCGGGGAGACCGGGGCCATTGGCACGGCCGCTGTGCCGTGCCACACCATCGGCACACGCTCGCGGCTACCCCCCATGGGGGACGGGGGGGGGGGGGGGCGCTGCTGACTCGGTAAAATGTGTAATGAAAAACAACAAAATAAATACATAAATGACGCACGGTGACGGGAGGAAAACAGATGCCAGGAGTAACAAATTGAGCTGCTTGGCTGGAAGTGAGATTTGCTTCACACGGAACCCCCACACAGAGCCGGCAGCAGCAACAGAGACGGTGATGAGTTGGGACACGCGGCTCACTGCGAAGGGCTGTGTGGCTCACTGACAGCTTCTATAGGCTGTGTGGCTTACTGGTTTGGGCTTTGTAGGGTAAATACGGGTTATTGGTATTGGCTGGGCCGGTCGGATGGGTCACCGCAAAAAGCCTGTGTGGGTCCTGTGGCTCGCTGAAGCGAGCCACGCGCACGATAACGTCGTGGCTCGCCAACGAGCCTCCTCGTGTACACGCGTACGCTCGTGCACAATGGCACGCTCGCTCGCACGCATCCACGGGGGGGAGTGGGGCTCGGTGGCAAAGCAAATTGAAACGCCTGTTTAACCCCGCTCCGTGTTTTCCTTGTTCAAGAAAGCGCGTCGGCTTCATGCCGATCGCGCGCGACAGCTGGCCGCGGCTGCTCGAACCGCGGCGTGCGGACGAAGTTAACGGGCGAGAGAGGAACCGTGCGGCAGCCATCGTGACGCGAGCGAGCAGATGGCAGCGGGAGCGGCTTTTTATCGTTATGCGTGCCGGAGGAACACGGAATCACCGCCGTTCCCGCGCAGCAAATTACACAGTTATTGCTCACGATAGAGGTCGCAAGAGGCGCGTTTTGTGTGGAACAATGTGGTGTTTTGACACGGGGGCTCAGAACACATCTTGCCTCGAAGGAAGCCGTACAATGGAGATGTGAGCCGCGAAATTGGATGCGTGGAAATCGGATGTGCGGCTTATCAATGGGGTATTTTTTTACGACGGCGCATCGAACGCTTTTCCGCCAACGTAAGCGACGCAGTACCGCCCCCCCACCCTCCTAGGCTTTCGTCCTACAAGAACCACCAAGCCGCAGCGCAAGCGGCTTTCTGAGCAGCCGCACGGTTGAACGGCCCCGGGTTTTGTTTCCCCGCCGCAGCAGCCACCGTGTCGGACGGCTCGCATCGCCCACTGGGAGCGACGCACGGCTTGCGAGGGTGCAGGAGCTGCGCTGCACGCTTCTCGGCACAGTCCACAGAGACGGCGATGAGGGTGACGCTGCTGGGGCGGCCGGGGCAACGTGTCGGGTGAGATGGTTTACCCGCTTGCTCGCTGGTGCTGGCCACGTAACCGAGCCGGTGCAATGCGCTGGGTAACCAGAAATATCGTTCCTCTCTGCCACGGTGGTTTTTCTGGTATAACTTCTTCTGCCGGTGTAAGTGTGCATGGCTAGGCTAGGCCACAGTGTCACCATCTGCAGTGAATCAGAGTCTTCAATCGAGTCTGCTCAGACAGCAATCCTCCTCCTTCACGATACGAATCACAGCCTGTGCATACCACGCAGGAGTTCGTGCTGTATGGCTCTCCCACGCGTTATCAAGGTTGCAACGCGTGCCGCTCGGGGTGATGTCGGACGGTTCGGTTCACGCGCTGACAGCTTCCTCAGCAACTGAACTAAAGAAGCTTCCAGCACATGGAATGAAACGTCGGACACTCGGTACAACCAGAAAATGCTTCGGACAGTCTGCTTCTGTCCACATTCCCACTTTAGGCTTCTCCGAAAGCCCCAACTCATCTCGTTGACTACACAATGACCTCATGACGTCGCCCAGTGCGAGAACGTTTCAGCAGAGCCCAACGCACGGCAAGCCGGGCTGAGACTCAGGTCTACAGGCAGCGGTGGCGTCTCTGATGAGAAAACTGCTCCTTCCTGCTGATGAGACCCACTCTGTCTGGCACTACTGGAATGAGCGAGGGAAATCGTTATCTCTTTTCCACCCTCAGTCGATCTCCAACCCCCTCCTCCACCACCACCACCACCACATCTACCCCCCTTGGCGAGTCCCATGCTAGAAGCCAGCCCAGTTTCCCCACCACCGCCTCTCTCCCCAGGCACCCCCCCCGCCCCACTCTACCCCCCGCCCCACTCTCCCAACACCCCCACCCATCGCACTCCTCCACATCGCGCCGCTGGCAGTCACACGTGGAACCATTTACCCAGTTAATTTTATGGGTGTCGTATATTTAAATGCTAAGAGTATGCCGTTATGAATGTCTTTGGCAAATGTGGGTTTTGTTAAAAGGAACATTTATATATTATATATTACATATAGCGTAGAAAGACATGTCGATGTGTGCATGTCTGTTGATACAATGTTATGAAAACATTAAGCGAATATGCCTTGGGAAGAGCGGTTATTTGTTACTCTTCGGCAAATGTCTTGAACTCGTAAACAACCCTCAAGGTTAAACGTACACGCACGCACGTACAGACACGTGCACAGACGCACACAATCGTGCGCTTACAAATGTAACACACGTACAGGGTAAGTAAATTACACGAGAAGATAACCTACCTGAATGCAGCGTGGTGTGAAGAGATAAGGACAATTTCAGGCACAATGCAGGAACGAATTAAACAATATATATACACACACATGCTATTACGGAGACAAATTTAATTAAAAATGAAATAAATATAAACCCCATTGCAAGCACATGAGCAGACGTTTAAAGTCCGAGTTGATGTTGTTGGACCAGCTGAGAACTCAAGGGCCCAAGGCAGGAGTCGCATCCGCCCGAGTGGCCGGGGGCACGAGGCCGCGACCCACCTGCAGCAGAGGCCTCTGCACGGCGAGGGCCTTCATAGGTGTCGGCGTTGGCCAGCATCTTGAGGGGATCGGCCACCTTGGTGACGGCCTCGATCTCCTTGTTGATCTCCAGGTGCACCTGGTTGAGGAAGATGTTCTTGACGTACTGCGTGAGGAACTCGCGCAGGGTGCACTGCTTGCCAGGCCCGTAGCCCATCGCTTGCTCCGTCTCCTTGATGAACCTTCGCGCGAGAGGAGACACGCGCGAGATGGTCGGGGGAGGGAGGTGGTACTCGGCGGTTGACGCGGCGACGCGGGTGGGCGTCACAGACGGACTGGGACGAGAGTCAACCGTCATTAAAACCCTTGAACTCCCAACCCCCACCACTACCACGAGATCAGAGAAAGGCGCCACTAAAAAGATCCGTCCCAATGGATGTTGGAGCGAACGTGGACTGAATCACGCTCACAGACATTCGATCAGCTGTCCTGATTCCGTCACGATTCTATCCAATACATTTACTTTTGTTAACATTGCGGTGAATTGGAGCGTCTCTAGTGCCTGCAGGGGATCGCGTGAAGCCATTGCAAACCAGTGAGGCAAATACAAACATAACTGATTCTCACACGCATGCTGCCATGCATCGAAAGAATCATGCAAACTCGAGGTCGCTGTGTGAGGTCAGAGGTCAGAGCGGTGAATCGGCATCCGCTGAGAGCCTGGGTTCCAATCCAGGTACCGACCGGCCTGGGATTAAAACGGGTTCCCAGGTATAGCCAGTTGATAGTCCCAGCCCGGTCACGAATGACGGCACAAAAACATCCCATCACATTCAATCTGGTTGTGCACTTGATTTTGCTCGTTGCCAACACTGTAAACTATCCATTTTTCATCTGGATTTCAAGCTTTCGTGACTGCAGGAATCCATACTATTTGGTTCTTTCGGTAAAGTCACGTAGGTATAAAATAAAATAAATCATGACGTTTCGATTGCAACACAAGCAATCATCATCAGGTGGGAAAACCACAGCAATAATTTTTTTTTGCTGAAGTGGGAGAGAGATGCCGTGGTAAGAGGTTATATAAGTAAGAAAGGGGGGAGGGGCAAGAGGGGAGAGAGAGGGGGGGTGTGGGGTAGGGGGAGGGGAGCGCTGTGTGGACGCTAGGTGAGGGACGTGAAGCTGGACGGGGGTAAATTGGGCAGGGCTGAAGTGGGAGGCCGAGAGAGCTGGAGATGCGGGGTGGGGGGGGAGTTAACTCGTAAAAATAGACCCGGCAGGTATGATAGACAACAACCATAAAGCAGTTAGGAGTTTACCTGGTTAATAACATCCTTCCAATGATTGCTCAATTTGTATCCATCTTCTCGGTTGAAGTTATGTCCCCTTCTTGGTTCTTTCAGTAAAGTCACGTAGAAGGGAAGTAATAAAATAATAAAAATAAAACATAATAAAACAATTCTCACGACGTTTCGGCCACAACGCAAGCAGCCGTCCTCAGGCGAAGAATGAAACACCACCAAGCTTGGAGCGTATATTTAAGCTGGGTTAGAGGGGGGGAGGTGGGAAGAAGAGCGCCTAAACAAAATAATTTGCATATCAAGAGGAATTCAGAAGTTATGTCCGTTATTATATCTGGATGGTTTCATGAACAAACCTTTGATAGTAGCCCGAAGGTTTGCAGAGCACCTTGGTCTCGGAAAACACAATATCACGTGAGCCCACAGCGTTATAACAATGGTCAGCTCCGGTAGAAGTATTGGTTCTGCCGTGTTTCAGATCTGCCTTGTGTTCACAGACACGGTCCGAGACATGTTGTTTTGTTTCCCCGATGTAACTGCTGCCGCAGGTAAAACTCGGTTTGTAAATTCCAGGATATTGCATGTCAGGAATGACATGCAATATAACACAAGGCAGATCTGAAAGACGGCAGAACCAATACCTCTACCGGAGCTGACCATTGTTATAACGCTGTGGGCTCACATGATATTGTGTTTTCCGAGACCAAGGTGCTCTGCAAACCTTCGGGCTACTATCAAAGGTTTGTTCATGAAACCATCCAGATATATAAACATAGACATAACTTCAACCGAGAAGATGGATACAAATTGAGCAATCATTGGAAGGATGTTATTAACCAGGTAAACCCCTAACTGCTTAATGGTTGTTGTCTATCATACCTGCCGGGTCTATTTTTACGAGTTAAGAAGACTCGAGGAGCCGGGCAGCGCCGCGTGGCTGAGGGTCATCGCAAACACAGAACGCGAAGCTCTCCGCTGTGTAACAAGTTCCCAGAAAGAGCCTGCTTGATTTGTTTTTTACCTTGGGCCTTTCACCCCAGCTGCACACAGACAGCGAGGTATTTGATGTTGGCTGGAAGAGGCTGATGAGCTGTGAGACTCCGGTTTCAGGTTTCCAGCCCCCCCCCACCCCCGCAAGATGGGGTCGCCAATGACGGAAGATTACGGAGGAAGTTACACGGTGAGATGAATTGAACAATCGTACGCAAACTCAAACAAAACAACAGAATGATAGAGAGGAAAAGAAAAATAACAGAAATTGTTAAACCATTATACGAAGACGGGAAAAATAACACTTGCAAATTCAGAGTTGCAAGTCACAGTTGCAAGTGTGGCATCAAGAGTGAGTTTAGGAGCATCCCTTGATGGGTATGGTCACCAAAATTCAGTTTCAGTTTGATTGATTTGGAATAACCCTGTGAGCCATTCGGCTCTTGATTTGGGTGCAACCGCAACAAACAATAAAATGACAAGATACATTTAAAATGTACCGTACGCAAATTGAAACATCCCCTACAAAAACAATAAAATCTTCCAGAAAAAGCACCATTTGTTTATGCTGCGTACAAAAATGTGCAAAAAAAATCCCATTTTGATGTTAGATCACAATAACAATCATGATACAATTTTGATAAAAAATGTAAGTCTAACTCTACACTACATAAAAAAATCGGGCTAAACTAAACCTTTCTAGAAATTACTAAAGTACTGCTATAAAAACAATGTAACAGTGATCATAAGAAATGTGATTGAAAGTTAACAATAGCGACATACACAACATATATTACTAAACCTAGCATCCTTCGCTAGCGGAATGAGTCAATCCATAACAGCAGGAGTAATAATAGTAGTAGCAGCACACTATAATCAAAATACATGATCATTTCTCGCATTGGTCATCTATAGCTATAGATTTGATTTCAGGCCACTGGATAGCAGTGGCAGCTAGGGTTGTACGACTCCTCTAGAGCAGTTTTGAGTGATGGTCTTATAGGTAGTGACAGCGGATATACCACCATCCACTGGCTATATATTTATATGCATAGCGGACTGAGCAGAATGGTGTGGAGACACACTTCCAAGCGCACAGCTGACATAAAGAGATCAACTGTGGCTCATATTGTTTTCTAGATCCTAACTAGGGACCTCGATCATTACGCATGTCAATGCAAGTCATCTGGACAGTGTGTGCCCTGCTTCAGTTGTTCATGTTGCTGTTCAAAATAGAAAAAAATATTTTTTTGCTAAAATTAAGAAAAGAAATCAAAGTAAATATTGGAGGCTTTTGCCCAGAAGTGGGAAGATACAGGTCGACAACAACGACAGATAGTAAAAGACCCAGACTCACATAGAGACCCATAGACTCACACAGAGAGCCATAGGTTCACAAAGAGACCCATAGACTCACAGAGACCTGTAGACTCAAATATAGACCCAAATATACAAACTGAGACCCAAAGATGTACCAATAAACCCATAGCCTGACACGGAGACCTACAGACTCACTCAGAAAACCATAGATTCAGAGACCCACAGATTCACAGCAGTGGGAAATTACGCAAAAAGAACAATAACAACGTTGCGAGACTGTGTTGGCAGTGTTGCACCGGCAAATATAAAATACGCTCATCCTGTGGCTTACATACATAAATAGTACTCACAAAAACAGCGAGTGCCTGAAACACTGAGCTTGTTATGTATTCTCCTGTTCCATGGAAGTGTTAGCAGAAGAGAATGTGTTGAGCTCCAAAAGCAATCGGTTGTACTGTAATTTGTTTTCATTAATACAACCAGCAAAAGATAGCTAACAACAGAGGGAGTTTGAATTGAGATTAATGTGTGAGAAAGGCAAGAGCGTGACTCGGCGCTTTGGAGGCAAGGGCTGGAGGCTTACGTATAGATTTGTGAAACTCCAACACCTGCTAGGCGAGCAGATGACCAAGAGATGACAGTACAGTTTATTCTGCTTGCTTACCCAGGAAAGTCTCAATAAGTCTCAATACTCTTTTTTTGGAGGGTCCTGCTAAGTTTTCGTAGCAGGAGGTGATCCTGCTGCTGCTGTGTGATCCCAATTGAGTAATTCGCACAATATTTACCGCTGCTCCCGAAAGCGAGTTTCAAGTCAGACTGAGCGAACTCAAACGAGACATGGGGAGTTGGAGATGGGGGGAGGCCAGGAGGCGGGAAAGGGGGGGGGGGCAATGGGCAGCCACAGGAAGGCAGAGGGAGAGAGAGAAAGCAGAGCCAAAGAGAGGCGGGAGAGGAGATGGAACAGCAAAAAGAGGAGAGCACAGGGCGATTGGAAGGGAATTAAGGAAGTAAATGTGCAGCCTGCCGCAGTGTCTGGAACGATCACATCTCCCTGCTTTCAGAACATCCCCGACGGCATCTCGCGGCGGTGTGAATTAAAGCGGGCAGACAGTCTGACGGACGGACAGATAACGGATTTAGCAATTTTCAGAGCACTCGCCAAACAGCCTTTCAGCCCCACATTGTCTTGCTTTCTCAATTTCGGCTTTAATCAGAAATCCCAATGCAGGAACGAGATAACTTACTGCTCGCTGCCCGAGGGAGAGATACCCGCACCCCAGATCGCTCCCACCACACGTCCGAGTCTAAACAATCTGAAAACCTTTGTACAATGAGGCTTCTTTATGTTCTCTTTTTTTAATTCTCCCATATGGAGGCAGCAATTTCAAAACGAGGTTTCTTATGAAAAGCCAAATCCATGCGGCGCTTCACAAATGTGCATATTTACCCGGCTGTGTTGTCGCGAGTTTGTGATTGCCGGATTAAAGCGGCAGCAGCAGCAATTGTCCTGGAGGGGTGTCCACGCCCCCCGCCCCCCAAATTGAGAAGATCACAAAAAAACGATCGAACTCGCAAAGTCAATTCACACCCCCGCCCAATTTCCAGGCATTGAATGCCGCGAAACTGTTTCA